CAAGCTTATGTATAAAATTGCAGAGATCACAATTCTTGTAGCACATTTCCTGTTGTTGGCTCAATATCTAGAGAGCCAGCAACTCACCTGTTCAACTAGGTTGTGATTTTTAACCACTAAAGCAACATTTTAAAACAAAGGGTTATTTTTGCAGCAGGCTGATTTGTTTACATGATTTGCATATTTTTGAAGGACAGGGTAATACTGCTGAAGAATTGTATTTTAGAAAATTTACATGTAATTAATTCTTCATGTTTTTACAGACCCTAAGTGATGTTAGAAATTTGAACTTTCCACCACTGTTCACTCAGAAATATGCACAAGAGGTAGGTACAGCTGATGCTATAAAATATAGCTTTTTCATTAATTATTGGAACTTTTTTTCTTTGCTTTGCAGGTAAAAATGGAGAAACCAGGTTGCTTTCATGATATTAAGATGCATTTCTCTATCCCAGTGCTCTACATTTCAAAGCTATAACATTGCAATAATGGGCACTATGACACTTCTGTCACAGTTTTCCTCCAGGAATACATTTTTACCTGACTTCCCTTCGTCACTTACAGTCATTCATTTCACATCCATCCTGTCACGATTTCCTGCAACAAATCCATATTCCCAAAGAGAACGTGCAGAGTTTCAGACAGGTAGAGGAGAGGCTGTAGGCAGCACCATGGCTGTGTGGGATCCTCTCCAGAACTGGACCTCCCAGGAGGAAATCACATGAGCAAATTGTGCTGTCTTCTCCTTAGTCAGGTCTGTAAAGTGATGTGGTTGCAGGCAAAGAGGAGGTCATGTACACAACCTCCCCAGTGAAAAGCTGAGGTTCTCTCAGGTGTTCAGAGGAGCTTCAGACCAGTGGCCAAATGAGGCCAGCCTTTCCTACTGTACAGCTGAAGGCTGCATGGGAGAAAGGGCTGTACTGTGCTCAGCTGGAGCACGACACTAATTCTGATGAAATTTGAAGCAAATATTCAAACTGCTTGTATATTTAAAGAAAAAATTCTAATTTGCCACAAGAAAAATTCAGTGTGGCTAAATATGTAAACACGAATTTAAAAATTACTTATAAATTATGTATCATATATTTAATTTTGATTGCAAATAACATTAAGTTTTTTATAACTCTGTTAAACCTCGAGTCCAATTTGGATTGCCAAATCGTTTTCAGTCCTTGACAGTAAAGACATTTTAACAGATGCACAGTGATATATCTTAAAATATTTAGTGCACTTCTAATTACTGAGCCAAAGCACTAACACCCAAATAACTCAGCTGAGGGTATTTTCCACTTGTTCATACAGCCACACCTGAGGCCAGGACATGAAATGAGGAAGAGTTTATGGATTGGTTCATGTAATATGTGTTGTGTTTCCTTTCAGTATACCATGGTGAAGGACATGCTCTCTCCAAGTCCCACTGAACGACCAGAGGCTGCAGCAATCATTGAAAATGCTGTCTTTGAAGACTTGGAGCTCCCACCCAAACCCGTGCTCAGGCAGAGGTCACGGACAATGAGTCTATCAGGAAATAAACATTCCAGACAACCAAGCAAATAACTATCCTCAGGATCACTTCTTCCACTCAGCAGGTTTCACAGGGATTGTTCAGCAGAAGGATCCTATGATACAGAATGTTTATCTTGGGAATAGTTTACTTCAGCTTTTTTTGCCATGTTTAATGTATAAGACATGTTGGACAGATTTTGGTTTACTTTGACAGCCAAGGAAACCCAGTAACCAAACCTTTCACATTCCATTTTCCTTACCTTTGCTCTCCTAAGCGGACAGGTCCAGCTGCTGTGCTTGCCAATGTTGTGCTCCATTATCCTTTTTTGGGGGGTTTCTTGGGTTTTTTTGAAGCTTGTAAATGTCAGCTTGCTGGGTGAATGAGAGATCTGTAACATGTAAATAGAATTAAAATACTGTATTTTTATAGAGCAAATTACAGTCTCTAAGCCTAGTGAGTGTCTATCCGGGTCACTTGCTCTTTGGTGAAATGAAGATGATTTTGAAACTAACTTTGACTTCATTTTTCTCCCTGGTGGGTAAACTGGGAATCTGCACTATTTTTAAAGCAAAAAAGTACCACAGTTGTACATATTATCACTGTCATTAGAGGAAATCATTTCATATTTCTGCACTACAGTAGATCTTAGGGAATGCATCTTATATGGATGAAGCTGTAGAGAAGGAAAACGAGCTTTTTGCCATTAAATGGGGGGTTTTATAGGCAGTGGTTGGAAGAGCCATAGTCAAAATTATGTACAAAATTGTTGTGATTCTAAAAATTTAAACCTAATGAAGTCATACGTGTCGTATGTAATCTTGTAGATTTGTACTTTTTAAAAAAAATCAATTGGTAGGCATTTGTGTAATCTGCTAATTTAACTGCCTAATGCCATGCTTTTTTTTCTCACTGTAAATATGTTAATTTTTATTTATAAAATACAGAATCAATCCATTTGGGTTGGTGGTGTACAGGATGCACTTGGTGTAATTGTTGAGTGCATTGATTATTGTGACTTATTTCAAGTCTAAATGATTTAATAAACTTTTTTTATTTATAAGACAAAATGGTAGTTGCTTCTGTTGGAAGCCTGCATCCGTGTGTGCTGCAGATGGCAGCCCTGTGCAGTGGGAACAGGATGGGCTCTGCATTCCTGAAACTTCCTTTGCTTCCCTGTCTCACACTGGCCACAGCGTGTGTGATGACGCAAAACTGAGTGTGCTGCTTGCAAGTGAGATAGGATCTGGAGGAAGAAAGGAATTGAGCTCCAAACTGGGTGGATTATGGAGAAAATCGCCCACCAGAGAGGGGAGAAGGGATAATTCTTATGCTGTTAGAGCTGTTCCTGTGCAATTGTATTTTCCTGTTTAACAGAAGTCTCTGAGATCACTTTCCTAAAAGCATACTGGATTCAAATCCTTCTGGGGATTACTGTACTGTGGTGTGACACTGTGAGCAGCAATTAAACCAGCTGACACCCTGCAGCTTTATGATAAGGCACAAGTAGATTACAATCATTGTCTTCCATGTCCTCTTGGATAACTCCCCTAGATACTGGCTTGTCCAGGTGAAACCAGAATTCTGCAGTGAATATCTGATCAGGAACAGAATTTGTGTTTAGCTGGGTTAAAGCAGGGGAGTTAAATGTGTCCTCTTCCCTTGGATGTCCCTGTTTGCATCAGCTACAGCAGCACAGTGAAATGGCCACATGTGGAGCCTCTTTGCCTTCCCTGCCAGCTCGGTGATTACAGGTGGAGCACAGGAAATGAGGAATAAGGTATTTATACTTGCTGGATATCTGTATGTGGGTGGCTGCCTATTCCAAGGGCCCTGCAGCATTTCAGTCCCAGAACTAGCATATGTGTTCACACCAGGTGTGTCTGCATATTCTGGGATGTTATACTTGCCCTCCAAGGCGTGGATGAGTCCTCCCCTGTGGGGTCCCTGCCCAGCGTCTGGCCATGCTCAGCTCTGAACTGCCTGGTCAGTCTTTGCTTCTCTAAGCACTGGAGTGTGTTGTCCCAGTCTTCGTCCCTTATTGCTCCAGGGTCTGACAGAGAAAGGCTCCTCTCTATGCTGAGAAATTTTCCTCTGAGTGATGTGTGCTTTCCTGCCAGCTGTTTTGTGGAAAAACACCCAAACTGCCAGAGCTGTGAGCTCACAGCCCTGCCAAAGGGGCTTTGGCCTGGAGTTCTGTTGTGCTGTGCAGCATCAGTGTCCTGTCCCGTTCTTTCACAGGATGCTGCCTATCCCTCAGCTCCCTTCTTCCCCCATAGCTCTTGGATTTAAATCCCATTCCTTGTCCTGTTTTATCAAAATTACCTGGGTGGCAGAAGCTGGATTCCTGCCCTGTCCATCTTTGTGCCAACAGGATGCTTCCCCCAGAACAAGGTGTAGTTACTTACCACTTCCATGTTGTTGCTGGAGTTGTAGGGTCTGGGACACCTCACCTTCTTCATGGAGAGTCATTTCACAGGAGAACCACTGTTGAAGCTCAGGTCAGGGCTGGTTTTTTCTACCAGGCTCTTGAGAGAGAACTCCTGACCCTTGTGCTGGCATCTTCAGTATCTCAGCTGCTCCAGGCAGGTCCTACTGCCTTTTGCTACCTTTTCAGAGTAACCCTTCAGTGAGGCACTTGTGGCTTTCCTGCAGGGAGCCAGTGCTGTTGGAAGTCCAGACAAGACTTGGGAGTAGCAAAAATAATCGTTTCCATTTATCATCTTTTTTTTATATCTCGGTGGTAGATTCCACAGTGTACACACAAGTAATAGTTCCTATTCACATCCCATCTTTGGATGATGTCAGTCTCCTGTAGCTTTGAAACCACGGTGCTCCTGGTGTTACAGCAAGTCTTTGTTGTTTCCTGTGGCCTGCCACATGGAATGTCCCCTCCAGAATTAACAAGGAAACCCACAGATAATTCACACAAAGCTCTGAATATCCAGATGTTGCAGAAGCCAGTGAGCCCCAAGCTCAGCCCAGGCTGCAGAGTGGTGCCTCTTTAGGAAGTGAACTCTGCTCTTTGGCCACATCCCTCCTCTAACTCCCACACACAGACTGGCACATGTGGAGTCATTAAAACTGGTCAAATCTGTAATGAAACTTTGAGATGAGAAGCTACAGTGGCTTGGTAAGAAACACTGTCCCACCTGACACAGATCACCAGGATGTTCACAAATGTAAGGTCACGTTATATCGTACGGGTTTGGTATTTTTTGCCCAACATGAAGGTTGAATTTGTCTAAGGAAATGCTCATTAGAAAAATAATTATCCAGGAATGAATTAGCTCCATTACTATAACAAATTGCCCCTAAAATACCTAAGTTCCTCATTACTGAAACTGTGGAAGGTGAAGAAATGCATCTTTGTTGTATTGTCCCCAGCTGTAATATTCCAGCCCCTCCTTCCCATATTTTCCTACCCTTCGTTTTTCCTTTGGGATGTGCTCCAGCACTTTCTTTATCACCACCTCCAGTGACTGATCCTGAATCCCTATGACTTGGGTTTGCCCTTCGGGGCACCATTGGGCACCGTCACGCTGTATTCCAGGTCCGGAGCAGTCTTGGAAAAGGTGGCTATGGAAACCATGTCCTCCCCAACATCCACCTGAGACCTGTGCCTGCAGATGAGCAGCTTCTTGAGGGCGTGCTGGAAGTCCCTGTTGAGGAAGGCGTAGAGCAGGGGGTTGATGGTGGAGTTGCAGTAGCCCAGCCAGGTGATGATCTTGAAGGTGCCGAGCAGCACCGTGCTGGTGGAGTCGGTGCCTCTGGCTGCCAGCCAAACGTTCAGCACGAAGTAGGGCAGCCAGCAGAGCACAAACACCGAGATGATGATGCTGATGGTCCTCGTGGCCTTGTTCTCCAGCTGCAGGTGGTTCTGCCGCTTGCTGTTGGGGTGGTAGTGGATCTCCAGCGTCTGGGACATGATGCGGGTGGCCTTGAGGCGGGAGGCTCGGTAGATGAAGAAGTACATGAGGCACATGACCATGAAGGGGAGGAAAAACGCCAGGGCAGAAGCCACGATGGCAAAAACCCAGTTGGTGACAAAGATGCATTCTCTGCCTGCATCAAAGTCCACGCCAGGGATTTCATTCCAGCCTTGCATGACGGGCAGGAAGGAAATGAGGGAGGAATATACCCAGACCGTGCAGGTCATCACGATGCATCTGCAAAAGGAAAGAGATGCGGAGGGGAGAGAGGGCCTGAGTAATTTTGAGTTGAGAACATCCAGTACGATTCAATCCCCATGGTAACCTGTGTGGGATATCGCTGTTGAGCAGTCCAGCAGGGCGTGGAGAAGGGAAAAAGCTGGAGTATAACAAGTCCAGACGTGCATATCTCTAACAATTGGGTAATTGGTCTGTAGTTGACAGAATTGGGGTCAGCTTAAGGAGTACTCAAAGCTGGCTGAGAGAAGATGAGGAAAGGTTTTACAGAAGATGTTTGTTAGTATTTGAAACAGCGTGCAGATTTTTTTGCTTTCAGCTTTAGTATCTGGTCATTATCTCACCCTCTGGGGCCTGATGGGGATGGAGCTGATGGACACCAGATGACAGAATCTGCAAGGGGGGGCCACACAGCACCCTCCTCTCTTTGCCTGTGATCCACAAATCACACACAGCAAGAGTGACAGTCGGAAAAACATGCCTAGAAGAGCCTGAACCCACCCTGTAAAGCACCCCACTGCTGCAGTGTCCTCTCTGTCCACCCTCCGATGATTTTCCCCACCCTACAATCCTCATTTCAGCCTTTCACATTAAACCTTCACGGGAACTCAGAAACTCTCCCTGTTTTCCCTGAATATCACTTCAGAAAAGATGGTGAGTTTAAGAGAGGGAAGACTACATGCATCCTTCTGGGTTTCCTTTCACCTGGTCCTTAGAAGTACTTCAAAGTCCTTCCCCATCTCTGAAAGTGTTTAAGGCTAAGGCTTGAGCAACCTGGTCTAGTGGAAGGTATCCCTACTCACAGCAGGGGGATGGAACAAGATAATCTTTACAGTCTCTTCCAACCCAAGCCTTTCTGTGATTCTGATTCTATGAAATGTCTGAAATGACAGCACAGGGAAAAACCTGTTGGTCCAACTCAGCCCATATCGCTGGTTTCTACTTTTGCAACCCTGCCTTAGCTCAAAAAATATTCTACCAGGAGTACCATCCAACCCCCTCAGCTGCATCCTCCTTGTCCTCTCCTGCACCACACTAGGCATTTTCTGCAGTTTTAAATGGTTAAAGTTCCTTTCACCACATCACTCTGCTTCTGGGCAGCGCCTGTCAACAGCTCATTCAGCCTCAGATCAAGTGGCACCCTGGAGAGACCCAAAACGAGGAGCAGCTGCACTCACCTGCCACGGGACATCCTTTTGGAGTAGTGGTAGGGGGTGACCACGGAGCAGTACCTGTCCAGGCTGATGAAGCACAGCGTGACAATGGATGCAGTGCAGAACATGACATCGAAGGAGATCCAGACTTTGCAGAACAACTTCCCAAACAGCCACATCCCTGTCACCTCGTAAATGATGCTGAGAGAGGAAACAGGTGGAAATCAGAGCTGGAAGGGCTGTTTGTGCAGTCCTGGAGGTGTATAAGGCCAGGCTGGGTGAGTGTTGGAACTCTGAAGCCTGGGAGTTTTGAACTTTCTGTGCTTTCTACACTGACCCTCAAAGGAACACTGCTTTTGACTTGAGGCCTTGGAGAAGGCTTCCAGATTTGAGTGATGGAGTTAGAATCACTGGTGTGTTTTTGAATAGAAGTGTGTAATTTCACATGGTGAAGGATTTTGGGGATATACATAGAATTTGGGGTTTTAGAATACAGTAATAGGTAATGGGACAAGATTGAGGTTCTTGGGAGTGGCTCTTCTTCCTTCTTGTTCCTTCTTGGTTTTAGGTGGTACTTTTTTAATTGGTTACAAGGTACCACAGTGAGGGTCACAGGTGTTTGGTTATTGGGTCAAAAGTATAAATAATATAGATGTTAGTTCTTAATTGGATAGTCAGCCTTTCAAAGACCTTGTAACTAGCCAGATACAGCTCCATTTTCTCGCTTTTAGCTTGTTAGCTCGAGGTGCTGAAGAACTCTCTGTACTTTAGACAAGAATTAATAAACAACCAAGTCCGAACAAGAAAATCTGTCCCTCAAGTTTCAATCCTGGCTCTGAGTGAAGGCAGAAGAAAAAAGAAGCCACTGATTTGTGGTGCCACTAATAAGGTGGTGCAGCTATCAGGTGAGCAACCTGGTCTGGTGGAAGGGATTCCTGCCCAGGGCTGGAACAAGAGAATCTCTAAGGTTCCTTCCAACCCAAACCATTCTGTGACTATTTCTTTATGGCTGTGCTGAGGTAATGCTGTACTTTATCACACAGGTACTAAAGATGGGCAAGCAGCTCAGACAGCTGGGACTCATCCTTAAAGCACAACCCAGGAAAGGAGCACCCCACAGCTGGAGCACGACTGAACAAGAGCAAACCTGTGCTTCTTGCAGCCTTGAGAGAGGTGCTTTGCCCCACAAAGCTCCCCAGATTTACACCTGCACAGCTTTGTTTATTACAGCATTTTCCCAGTGCCTGACACAGAACAGTCTTTTATGATTTCTCCCCAGTTCCTGAGGCATGTGACATCTCCCAGAGAAACTCACTTCATATCCAACTGAATGCTTCAAAACTAGAAAGCATTTCCACTCTTGGTTTAAAAAAAATACAAAACAATATATCCTAGGGGGAAGCCCATGCAGCTTGTACATTTTGTGGCTCTAAATGCCTCAGCAAGGTAAACACACCAGCAAAAAGCAGATATAGTACCAAAAATATTTCTAACAAAGTCAAGAGGGGCCTGTGAGAAGTGAGCAGAGAAGGAAGGAGCATATGGCAGCTGTAGGAAGGCTGATGCATGCTTCTATAGCATTCAGTGAGATGCCATTTGCGTCTTTCTTTCTCCAGCTTTCTGCAACTCCCGAGGTGCTGCTAAAATCACCATTGTGTGTGGATTTGATGAGTAACTCCCTAGTCCTGCAGAGCTTTAATTATCCTGTAACTTCCCAGCTTGCTGGTTAAATACAGTGAGATCAGAGCTGCTGAGCTGCAGGCGTCCAGCAAGGGAGAAAGATTCAACCTGATGTCAGAAAACAATGCCTGATCGGCATCTCATCAGCATCCGTTCACTAAATCGACTTGTGAAGGTTGTTCCAGAACACAACAACTGCTGTAGGTGGGTCCTAGCCCTCTGCAGCTCTTTGTTATGTGGGATTGCATGCAAAAACCCAAGCAAACTACAGCAGAACCTGTCCCCACACCGTGGAGGATCCCACAGCACGCACAAGGGAAGGTTTCATGGCTCTACAGAGGGGAAATGAGGCGTTGGAATTGGAGCATGAGCTCAGTACTGGACTTGGGTGCCTCTTTGCCATTCCTCAGAGTCCTCCTCATCCCAGAGATGCTGCAGAGCCTGTGGTGTGCTCTGGCCTCCCAGAAGGAGATGTGCTGCTGTTGGGACCCCCTTGCACACAGATCCCAAGTGAGCAGGTGCCCAATTCTCACCTGCACACATCTGGTGGGATGCACCTGACCTGCAGACATTCCCTACAGCATATGGCCATGGATACCTCACCCTTCTTCTCTGAGCTACAAAGTCTCTGCAGCTTGGAAATGATGCTGGATAAGAAGGAGTAGTAAAAGCCAAGAAAAGTACACAATGAAGTCACCCCTGCCTTGCCCTTTTGCTTGCAGAGGGAAAGAATAGCTGGAAATATTTCCAGCCTGGAAATGACAAACTGGCTGGAGTACTCAGACAACAAGCTAAGCTCAGCTGGACCACTCCTGCAAACCAGCCAAGCCAGGAACAAAACAAAAGTCTTACTCTTATGAAATTAAGACACCAAGTGACAAATTTGTTTTTCCCTTCTGCCACACTTTCCTGAGCCAAACTGCCTCCTAAGGTAATTTCTTTTCCTTCCCTTTGGCACGTAATAACCTGCCAGCTGAGGGGCAAACTGAAATCCAAAAGAGCAGCATAGATGTGAAGCCAAAGCAGTGGGAATGTGTGAAACAGCAGCCACTGTGCTGGCAGGGCTGGACAGCACTGATGGAGCCAGCAGGGTCCATCCCTCAGCACGTGGCCCAGCAGGAGCTGGCAGCTCTTCCCTCCAGGCAGCACCAGGACATTCAGGAGGGCACAAAGCACAAACCATGCTCTGATCTTTGCTTCTCTTTGTAATTTTTTGTTGTTTAAGTAAGACATCACTGAAAGTAGATTCAAAATAGATAGGAGGAAAAAAGTTTTTACGGTGAGGTTGCCCAGAGATGCTGTGGCTGCCCCATCCCTAAAAGTGCTCAAAGCCAGGTTGGATGGGGCTCTGAACAACCTGGTCCAGTTGCCCATGTCCCTGCAGGAGTTGGACTGGATGACCCCTAAAGGTCCCTGCCAATCCAAACCAGTCTATGGTTCTATGATAATTTCAGAACCGAACTTAAAATTCATCAAGCATAGAATTTAAGTTAGCAGTAATATTTTTTAAAAGAACATAATTGACTGCTTTTTTTCACCTGATACCATGAACTTTTAACTCAGTTTGTAATTGCTCATTGGGACAATACTTTTCAGTGCCAAATTCAAAAGAATGGGCAGCCCCATGGCAACTGAAGCATACAACATGAAAAGAGTTCAGCTTCCTCATATTGCCCCAGGAGCTCAAAACAGGGTGCAGTTCCCTGATTTCCACAAACTTAGGGCAGCTTTTCAGGACAGGACAGCCAGGATCACAGGCCAGCTGCTTTCTGGTTTTGTTTCACTATTTGAGCCAAGTGGTGAAGCTCCCATAAATATAAACCTCATGCAGGGACACGTGCTCTCTGAAGTGCCTCCTCCTCCATGAAGTGTAGAGGAAGCCTAAATTACTCTGCTTACACTGAATAAGTTCCTTACATTCCTTACACAGGGCCAGTCCTGGGAGAGGGGACTCAACGACTGCAGCTCCACGTGCAAATCTGGAAATCAAGCTCAGATCAGCAGCCAGAACCCCTGTGTGGCCAACAGGAGAAACACCCTTGGGAAATGTGTCCCCATGCATTATCAGGGGATAATAATAATCCATAACACAGGGCAGAGCCAGGGAAGCACACAGAGCCACCAAGCCGTGGTCCAGCCCTTTGGAGAGCCCAGCCCTGAGCCCAGCAGGTGAATCCCTTGCTCCATGAGCAGATGCAGAGCTGGGAGAAAGGACATTTATCCTGCTCTGCTCCCACCCCAGGGACACTCCTCACCTGAAGGGCATCACCAGACAGGCCACGAGGAAGTCTGCCATGGCCAAGGACATGATGAACATGTAGGTGACTGTGCGCAGCCTCTTCTCCACCACGGGGCACAGGAACACGATGGTGTTTCCCAGCAGGGTGACCACATCGATGAGGGTGAGGACGAGCCCGATGAGCACCTCCTGGAGCCCAACCCCTCCCCTTGCAAAGGAGGAGGCAGCAGAGGAGAAATTAGAGAGCCAGGTTTCATTCCTGTCCATCAACATCTTCCCACTGTTAAAATCTGGACGAGATAAAAGGGGAGAACCAGAACTACCTTAATGACGATTTGTAGGTGTGTGAAAGGGAGGATGGAAGTGATATTCACACTTCATTTGCTCCAGGAAAAATCCACACACCCGGCTGTGCCTGCGCCAGCACTGTCCCGTGGTTAGCAGCCCATTAGAAGTGTCTGAAATCCTGAGGGTGAGGATAAATGTGCAGCATTGACTGAAGTCCTTCACGGCAATTAAAAGCCCTCCCGTGAATGAAAATGCATCATCAGGTGAAGCATGAGACCAGAAAAAAAAAATTAGAAATGTACTGAGAGCAGAGAGAGGAAAAGAAAACAAATGAAATAAAAAATTAAAGCAGCTGGGCTAAATCCCACTGAACAGCATGCCAAGTCCATGTAATGTGGGGGCTGGAACTAGATGATCTTTAAGGCCCTTTCCAAACTAAACCATTCTGTGTTTCTGCATTCTCATTATCATCTTTGCCACCCCCAGACCAGCTGGGGCTGCTTGCCCAGGCTGGCTGCCTCCATAACCCCACTGTTCAGTCCGTGCTGTGCCCTGGGCTGTCCTGGTGCTTTTTCAGGCTGAAGTTTAGAGGTTTTTTATTACCATAGTGGGCAGCTCCATCCTCCAGTGTGAACGGCCAAGCAGGGCTGCCAGAAGCCACACGGGGAGCAGAACCATGGAATCACAGAATGGTTTGGGTTGGAAGATCACCAAATTGAGGTGTCTCAGGCGCAGCCCTGACCCCAGACTCGTGTTCCCTCTGTGCCCAGATGGGAGGTGATGCTCCCAACTCGTTAACTGGGGATTTTTCCATTGAGGAAATCCTCAGGCTTGGGTCCACAGCTCAGTTCCCAGACTTCGACCAAGTGGTGTCACAGGTAGGTGGGAAGGTTGGAATGATGCCCTGCAAAAACTCCAGCAGTTCAAAGCTCACTGGTGTAGCTGAGGGAACACAAAATTTGTGGGGAAAAGAAAATTATACAAATATTTCCCAATGACAAATTGTTATATTTAAGTATCATCACTTCTCCTGTGACCAGGATCTCCTTCCACAGTACCCTCAGGCCAATCCCACATCTCCAGAGCATCCTACTGAGTGCAGTGTAAGGGATAACATCCCTATAGCCCAACTTGCCTCATCTCACAGGAGCCAAACTTTGTCTGAGGAGGAGTGTAAGAACAAGGCAGCAAAATGTTCCCAACATCTCTTTGTCCTTCCTGAAGCCTATGATCCAGAATTACCTCTTAAGATAGTTTCAATGATTTCTGAAACACAAAATTGTCCTGCTTCCCCTCTCCCCCAGCAAACTTTTAGCATCAATGACCTTCTATAGCAACAACTCCCACAGCTCAGCTCTGTACCCTGCAGTGAAACTCCTCTTTTTGCTCGTTCTGAGCCTGTCACCAGCCAGCTTCATCCGGTGCCTCTGCTCTTTGCCTTGGAAGAGACACCCCACAGCCCATCCCCATCCATCCCTCAGTGCCACTGGTGGGCTCTTCAACCTCTACCCACCCCTCCTGCTCTTCTGAGCCCCTGAGAAGGACCAACACTCCAAACAATTCCCAAGAGGTAACTGCTCTGTGGATTTACCTAAGGGCATGGTCTCTGTTCTCTCCTGCTTCCCTTTCGTCACCATCCCTGACATGATTTGCTGATTTGAGTGATTTTGAGTGATTTTTGAGTGATTTTGATCTTTCCACTGGGCTGTGGCCATCCAAAGGTCTTGTTCCAGAGCTCAGAGTCCACTGCTTTAGATGGGAAAATAGCATGAAATTAGGAAATTCTCTCCATCTTTTCAAAACCCCATCACTTCACAGTTGAATTCTTTCTTCCACTGTAATGCTCAACGAGTCTCATAAAAACCTTTTTCCACTTCATTAAGTCAGACATTATCCTTCATGCCCTGGTTAGACTTTCTTTTGCCTGTAAATATCACCACTTCATGATTCATGATTTTCCCAGCTGAAGATTCCAGAACCCCACGTATCCCAACCTCTATCCCAGTAGAGAGCATCACTGACCTCTCTTTAATTCACCCTGCACTTACCCCTCCTGCATGTCACCTTGCAGACAAGTACTTTTTCACACAGGGAGTTTTCTTCTTAACTCAGGACTATTACATTTCCCTAAAAGCCCCCACCATGAGGGACTGTATTGGAAACCTTTCAGAATTCCAAGCAGCCTACACCACCTGCTGACTTCTTCCAAGCATTCCTATACAACTGTGAAGCTGGGCTGCATTTTCTGAAAGCAATGGTGACCTTGTCCTTGGATGTAATCGTGTGTTGGTGCACCTACTCATCCTTCAAAACCCTCAGCTCCGTCCCACGACTTCTGTTTATTTGCTGGATTTAGTGGTTTCCTTTCCTTCAAGTTAAAATTAAAAAAAAAAAAAGAAAAAAAATTAAGAGAAGAGTCAAGCTGTCTAGGAAAAGAAAAATAAAGAAGGAAAGCTCTTCCTCACTGGAGATGGGAGTCACTGAATGATACCTGAAGCTCTCCTGCTCCTCCAGCACTGAGAATAAGAAGCTTTTTTTGGACATCATCTCATGCAGCCCCCTGGGCCAGAACTGCTAAAAGTCTGCAAGGTGTCTTAAGTGCCTCAGTCCTAATGAAAATATTCCTGGAACAACATTCCACATCCTGGTAACACCCCATAAAAATAAAATAAAAACTCCCCCATAATTGACAGGAAAGAAGACAATCTGTGCCATTCTTCCTAACAGCTCCACGGAGGATGGCAGCAGACTGGATGAGCTCCTGTGGAACAATTGGATTTCAATGCAGCCACATTTCCTGGCAGAAGGAATTGTTCAGGTTGTTCTCCTCCCAGCATGTTCCACACAGACAGCTCAGGGACAGCGGCTGGGAAAGCCACAGGGACACAGAGCACGGCCACACGGGAGCCAGGCTCCAGAACCCACCTCTGCAAGGGCCATTCCCTGCCCCACAGCCACCTTCCATCTCACCTCCCACACCTGCTGCTGTCCTCACACCTCTGGTACCTCCACAAGGTCTGGAAACTGCCCTCTGACCCCACCTCGAGTTGACCTCTAACCAATTTAAACACTTGAGTACCACCCAGTGACTCCCAGGTTCTCCCAGGAGAGCATGCAGCATTAGCTGCAAATCAGGTTTGATGAAAAATCAATGTTTAAAAAAAAAATTTAAAAAAAGAAAGATGAATTTTAAAGTTTAAAACGTCCGATCTTCAGATTTTGAAAAATCACTGTCAAATATTTGTTCATTGTGGATGAGAACGATAGATGAGAATTCTGGATTATCTGGGTTTTTTTAGATGTAACACTGAGACAAGAAGGTTTTGAAGTCACACCTTCCTGCAAAGAATGACTGTTCCCACATAGTCGTTAAGTTTGTATCAGCTTTAGGACTACTCTAATTAAAGCAGACCATTACTCACACTGCTCTGTGAGCACACACCACTCTCAAACTTTGAGCAGAATTAGAACACAGTTATTAGAATCCCTTTTTGCAAGTTCTCTGTGCTCCTCAAGTACCATCTCAGCCACCAGCCTGGGTTAAAAGGTCTTCTCAAGTGGAAAAACTCACAGCAGGCTCCTTAATGCAGGGCACACCCAGGAGTATGACAGTGCACAAAACAGCAGACAGATGTGCCCACACTCACAAAACACTAGAGAAGCAATCTTTAGTCATATTTTTTTTCTTTTTATCAACACAAAGGCTGAGGAACTGGAAATAAGGCTTTTTTTGACATCCATTACTCCAACAATAAAAACAAGGGATGATGAATTCTTGAAACTTCAGGCTTGAACCTTGAACTGTAATTCAGGGTATAGACAACAGGATCCTGCTGCTCCTCATCCCTTTTAAAAATCCCAGCCAGAGTCCCTGGAAGCTCATCCACAGTCCCTGTCACAGCCAAGCAGCCTGGGGTGGATGTCTGGATCCTTTCACTTCTGACTAAGAAGCCAAGCCTTACCCAAAGTACTCTCAAACCACCTGGAGAATTGTTAACACAGAAAAGCAGGGGATGATACCACCTTACCCTCTCTGTGGAAATTACTGGGACAAAGCAGGATATGCTATCTTTCCCAGGGATGCATTTCCTCAGCTTAAGATACTGGAATTTCTAAATATTCCTGCAAGCTGCAGCAGCCCATGTGGTTACACTGCTGGGATAGCCCAGTCTTTCAGTCTTCCCTGTAAGAGCCCTCTTAAACCAAAGGGGTAAATGCCCAGCTGTATCAGGATGTGGGATCTTCCCAGCTTTCCTGGGGAATCTCAGATGCCTCAGGGTTTGCACTGCTCTTTTTTGGATATTATAGTTTTCCTTCCTGTCAAAAAGCTGATGGGTTGGATTCTGCTCTGAGGCTGCCTGAGCAAAGTAACTCCACCATCTCTGTTCCCCTTTAATACCCAGAAAGTTGGAACTAATTTATTCAGCAGACAAATCCCAAGCTAAAGGTTAATTTCATCAGTAAAAGGCATATTTTGATGGCAAGGGAGGGAAAAAAACTCTGCAATCTCAAGGCTGACTGCACTTAAAATCTTAGAGGAATGATCAAAACTGGAAATATATTACTGGGCATGCATTTACTGCTCTGCTGAATCAGGTACAAACCAGCAGGGAACAACACCTGCCCCAGGATCTCACACACCTTTCCCTTCTCCTCCCCATGAGAAAAGTGCAGCAGCTCAGTGATGGCTCAACAGTGCGAGCAGTTTGCTCAACTGTGCAAGGCAGTGGGTGGTGATGAAGGGGGGGACAATGAATGCCTGGGGATGCTTCCACCAGCACAGCACACACTCGAGGAGGTCCCGCAGAGGGTGAGCCTTGCACTGACTTTCCTTCTCTCTCTCTCCCTCTATCCAGCTTTCCCCTTGGAAGGACAGCATTTCTCAGGGCTTCTTTCCACCCCCAAACCAGCACAGAACGACTCCTACAGCGTCTCTGAGAGCGCCGGGGCTGGGAGCACAGTAAAACACGAAATCTTACCTTGGAAACTGATGGCAGGAGCAGCTCGGCCGTGTCCCTGAGCCCGGAGCCTGCTGCTTTCCCAGCCCCAGGGTACCGGGGGTACCAGGGGGTACCGGGGGGTACCAGGGAGTGCGGATCCCTCCTCTCGGAGATGCTCCCAGCCTGCCTGCCTGAAGCAGGACACAGAATCCTCATCCACAGCCGGCACAGCGGTGCGGGATCAGCCCCGGCAGGCTCCTCCACAGCCACAGAAATTCTCCAGCAGCCGCTGCCTGCTCCGGGGAGAGAGCAGAGACCGGAGCGACATCTCAGCAGTGAAACTCAAGGCGAAGTTAAACCCGCGCTGCAAACACTGGGTGTTCACTGGTTAGAAAATGAGCCAGGGTGCCAAAACCCAAACCATGGGGAGGCAAAACTCTCACCCTCTGGGGAGCAAAATTCCCAACCCCTGGAGTGCAAAAAAACCTAAACCCTGGGGTGCCAAACCTCCCAAACCTTGGGGTGCAAAAGCACCAAACCTTTGAGTACAAAGACATTACCCCCGGGGTTCTGATCCACAGCCCTGGGGTGCCAAATCCACCTTTCCTGGGGTCAAACCCGCCAAACCTCTGGGGACAAAAGCGCCAACCCCCAGGGCAGCAAAACCCCCAGCCACAGGTAGGGCAAAGCGCCGAGGATGCTGTGAACGCATCTGCATCAGCCCGGGCAGGGGCTGGGGGTCCTGCCCAAGGAGGTGGGGAAGAAGAGGGGGGAACCCTTCCCGAGGGACAGGCAGTGCTTGAAGGGGGTGTCCCTTGGGCAGAGGGTTCAGGATGTGCCTCGGGGGAGCCCGCGATAGAGGGGATGGCACCCGGAGCGGGGAGCAGCAGTGGGAGCCGTGCCCGGGGAGAGCTCTGCCCGGGAATGGGGTATCAGGATCTGCCCGGGGATGGGAATGGGGATGAGGATGGGGATGAGGATGGGGATGGGGATTCCTCCGGCAGCACTTACCGAGGCAGGCGGAGGAGCCGCCTCCTCTCTCCCCCGCTCCTCCCCGCTCCAGCCGGGAAACGTTTCCTTCCCTCCGGGAAACCTTTCCTTCCCTGCGGGATACGGGGCTCCGCGTACGAACGATGCTTTTTTTCCTCCTGCTTTCAAACCAGCCCTTCCCACTCCCCCCCGGCAGCTACAGGCACACGGCGACCTGATGCATGAAAACAACAATAAAAAATAAGAGGCGTTCCGTGGGTTTGGCTCCCCTGTGGCCAAACAGGGTGGTTTGTTCATAAACTAAACCGAAAAATCTGAAAAATCCCGGGCTGGAAGAGGAACCTGTGGTGAGAGGTTGGTGGGATGTCACCTGCCCAGCCCCTCCGTGCCTTGTCCCGGGGTCTGGGAGGGATGGGATACAGGGATGGGATACAGGGATGGGATACAGGGATGGTGGATGCTGGATTTTGGAAACTGGGCAGTGGGTTCTTTAGGCATGTCTGTGGGACAGCCTGGCTGAACTGGTGTCTGGAAAGGAGAAATCCTCTTCCCAGCTGCGGGTCCGGGCTCAGGGAGTGACCGGCACCTCTCGGGGAGCCACTCAGCCAGCAGAAAATGAACACGGCAAGAAAAGGGGTAAAAATTCGGTTCTTTGAGTGCTGAGTGAATGTCACACACAAAGACGTGCGTGTGTAACCCTCGGCCAT